GAAGTGTCCAAAACGGCACTGAAGGTCAAAGAGGGTGGAGTACAGACACCCTGACACTGCCATTCTTACCATGTCGGAATGTTACAATATCTACTATATATACTATTCTATATAATATAGATATATCGTATATATATAATAACTTATATAATATCAAGTGTATTGTATATTTGTTATTTATAGTATCATAATTAATGATTAATTTATAGTAAGAATGATATACTGTAAATTGAAATCATTCATATTTCTTCGTGTTTATATGAGATCACGAAGTCTGAAATATGATTAGATAATATTCACCCTTGTTTTGGAATTATTTTTATCTTAGGGCAATATTCATATAGTCAGGGGAGTTAATTTGTTTGTGTGTTGTTTGGTTGGTTGTTGTTGTCTGTTGTTCGTCGGTTGCGTACCATCTCTTTGCAGGAGGCGTTTCTTGTTGCTCCTGTTCGACTCCGACGTCCGCCGCCCATCGAGTCTGGAGCGAGCTGCTGGAAAGCTCTCGACCTCCTGGACCACGCAACGAGAACCGACCAACACTCACAGTCTGTCCAGGTCTACGACGTGGACGGTCAGAGGACACACACACACACACACACACACACACACACTGTATACACACACACTGTACACACACACACACACAGATCTGATGTAATGAGTGATAACGTCCTCCAGGTGTCCATTAATTCCTGATAATGGACACCTGGAGGCCAGAACCGTGCAGTGCTGTTGACGTTGTTGTTGATGTTGTTATTGACATTGTCGTTGTTGTTTGCGTGCAGGCAGCGGCTCCATCGACCCCGACGAGCTGCGAACCGTCCTGAAATCGTGTCTGCGTGAGAGCGCCATCTCTCTGCCGGAGGAGAAGCTGGACGATCTGACGCTGGCGCTGTTCGAGTCAGCGGATAAAGACAACAGCGGCGCCATCACCTTCGAGGAGCTGAAGGCCGAACTGGAGAACTTCCCCGAGGTCATGGAGAACCTCACCATCAGGTCTGCTCTTATTTTTATTATTAATATATAATATTCTGTTATTGATTGTTTATTGTTTATTGTTTCTGTGTGTTTACAGTGCCTGTATAGAGAAATTATGTTTACTTTGCAGAAAACTGTAATGCTTTTATTTGTTTTTAACAAAAAATAATCTTGATAAAAAATACTGTGAGCAAATAAATCTCTATTTTTCACTTACAAATAAAAAGAAAATGTCAGTGTCCTTTCAGAGCTTCCGTATTGATCTGCAGAGTAATTCAGATCAATTTTATTGACGCTTTAGATTTGATCAGAATTGATCAGCTTTAACTGACATATTGAACTAAAGCGTGGAACAGGAAGACAAAATCACTTATAATCATTTATATTGATTACAGATTATCTATCAACTAAATCAATCACAGTGTTTGGTATCTGACACATAAAGGTGGAAATATATAGATTATTTCACAATCTCTCCTCCTCAGTGCCGCTAACTGGTTGAAGCCTCCGGAGCAGGAAGAGAAGAAGCACCACGCTCCGCGCTACCTGACCCGGGCCTACTGGCACAACAACAGCCGGAA